GCTGAGAACTTCTGTTGTTCCATTACACCTTCACCTCTTGGAGGTTGGTTATAATAGTTACTTTTAAAGTCTTTGTATAGCTTTTGTTTCTAAGCAAAATGGCAGAACAGGAGGTCCTCAGCTCATCTCACCCACACAAACAATGATCTGGCAGCTATCCGCACAGAGAAGTGCCTTTGTGGGACTTTGGGATCCAGGTGGGAGGTTGTGAAACTCCAGGAAAGCCCAAGACTAAGGAGAGCTTCTTTGAGAAGGCAAGCCCTCGCACTGGTGGCAGGCTCACCAAATGTGGTCCTGGGTGCAGAACAAAAGTGGCCCCATCCCCTTATGGACTTGACTCAAGCCCCACTTGGCTGCAGTCCTGCAACCAGCTCCAGCCAGCAAGGTACCCAGGAGGAACCATGGTCATCTGTACCCACAGCATCAGGCCCACCAGCTGTGGACCAAATTGCAAATCCTGAAGCATCCCTGTGACCCAGCTCCAGCCCCACTGTACTGCCAGTCTACAGTCAGTCGTGCCTGCACAGGGTTCCTGCAGGAGACATGTCCCCATAACAGTCCTGCAAACCCGCTCCTGACTGCAGATCCTGAAGCAGCTCTGTGACCTGGCTTCAGCCCTGATCTTAGTCCTGCCTGCCCAAAGACCCAGTGTCACCTGTTCGTACCCCTGGTAGCAGGCTTGCCAATCTCAGTCCTGGTTGTTCACTCTGAAGTCAGTCCCAGCTGTGGACTCTGGGTGGCCCTGAGGCTCAGTGCCAACCCCACTCTGCCACGGTTGGGGGCAGTCCTGCCCACCCAGGGAATTGGCAGGAGACATGTCCCTCCAAGCCTCCAGGGGCAGGCCCACTAACTTGGCCCTGACTGTGACCCGGCTCCAGCCTGCTCTCCTGCAGTTCCAGAGGCCGTCCTCCCACCCAGGGACTCACCCAGGGACCTGGGGGGAGTGTACTCAGGGGACTGGCAGGAGCCACACCCATCTCTGCCCCTGGCAACAGACCCACTGTCTGTGGACTTGACTGGTGACTCATTGTATGAGGCCAGCATTACCCTGATACTGAAGCCAGACAAGGAAACTACAAGAAAAGAAAATTACAGGCCAATATCTCTAATGAACATAGATGCAAAAATCCTCAGCAAAATACTAGCAAACTGATTCAGCAGCATATTAAAAGGATCAGACACCATGATAAAGTGAGACTTATCTCTGGGATGCAAGCATGGTTCAACATATACAAATAAATGTAATACACCACACGAACAGAATGAAGGATAAAGATCATGTGTATCTCAATAGATGCATAAAAAAGTATCTGACAAAACATCCTTTGCTAATAAAAACTCTCAACAAATTAGGTATAGAAGGCAAGTACCTCAACACGATAAAGGCCACATATGACAAGCCCACAGCTAACATCATATTAAAGGGTGAAAAGCTGAAAGCTTTTCCTCTAAGATCAGGAAGACAAAGATGCCCACTCTTGCCACTTCTATTCAAAATGAAGGGCATCCAGTTTGGAAAGGAAGAAGTAAAATAGTTTCTGTTTGCAGATGACATGATCTTATACATAGAAAACCTTAGCAACTCCTCCAAACTGTTAGGACTAATATACAAATTCGATAAAGTCGCAAGATACAGGATCAACATACAAAAATCAGTTGCACTTCTATACACTAACAAGCATGGTACTGGCATAAAAACAGACACACAGACGAGTGGAACAGAATAGAGAGCCCAGAAATAAACCTACATACAGTCGGTCAACTAATCTTCAACAAAGGTGCCAAGAATACACAGTGGGGGAAAAATACTCTCTTCGATAAATGGTGTTGGGAAAACTGGATATTCACATGCAAAAGGAAGAAATTGGACCCTTGTCTCACACCATACACAAAAATCAACTCAAAAATGATTAAAGGCTTATTTGTAGGGCCTGAAACCTCAAAACTCCTAGAAGAAAACATGGGGGGAAAGCTCCTTGACATTGGTCTTGGCAATGATTTTTTGGGGTGTGACACAAAAAGCACAGGCGACAAAAGCAAAATTAAACAAGTGGTGCTAGATCAAACTAAAAAATTTCTCCACAGCAAAGGAAACAATCAGCAAAATGAAAAGGTGTCCTATGGAATGGGAGAAAATATTTGCAAACCGTAGAGCCATAAGGTGTTAATATCCAAAATATATGAGGAACTCATATGATTCAGTGACAAAAAAAAAACAACCCACAAATAACACAATTAAAAAATGGGCGAAGGACTTGAATAAGATTTTTCCAAAGAAGACATACAAATGGTCAACAGATATATGAAAATATGCTCAACATTACTAATCATCAGGGAAATGCAAATCAAAACCACAATGAGATATCACCTCACGCCCGTTGAGATGGCTATTATGAACAAGTCAGAAGATAAGTGTTGGCAAGGATGTGGAGAAAAGGGAACCTTATACACTGTTGATGGGAATGTGAATTGGTACAACCATTATGGAAAACAGGATAGTGGTTCCTCAAAAAAGAAAATTAAAAATAGAACTACCATAGGATCCAGCAATCCCACCTTCTGAGTATATATCCAAAGGAAATGAAATCAGTGTCTGCAAAAGATATCTGTACTCTCATGTTCAACGCAGCATTATTCACAGTAGCCAAGGTATGGAAACAACTTAAGTGTCCCTTAACAGATAACTGGATAAAGAAAATATGATAGGTAGGTAGGTAGGTAGATAGATAGATAGATAGATCAATAGATAGACACACACACATATGCACAATGGAATATTATTTAGCCTTAAAAAAGAAGGAAATGCTACCATTTGTGACAACATGGATGAACATCGAGGACATTGTATTAAGTGGAATAAGCCAGGCACAGAAAGACAAATACTACATGATTCACTTATATGTGGAATCTAAAAAAGTTGAACTGACAGAAACATAGAGTAGAAGAGTAGTTACTAGGGGCTGAGGGGTAAAGGAAATGGGGAGATGTTTGTTGATCAAAGGGTACAAACTTTCAGTTATAAGCTGAATAAGTTCTGGAGACCTAGTGTCCAGCATGGTGACTATAGTTAATAATAATGTATTGTATACTGCAATTTGCTAAGAGAGTAGATCTTAAGTGTTTTTACCACACACACAAAAATAATGGTAACTGTGAGGTGAGAGATAAGTTAATTAGCTTCATTGTGGTCATCATTTCACAATGTATACATGTAATAAAACATCACGTTACACCTTAAATATATACAATTTTTATTTGTTGGTTGTACCTCAATAAAGCTGGAAAAAATAAATACTTTTAAAAAATAATAAAGTCTTTGTCTATTAATTCCATCATCTGGGTCATCTCAGGGTTGACATCTATTGATTGTCTTTTCCCTTGGGAAATGGTCAGATTTTCTTGTGTTTTTCTTTTTTTTTAATGATGAGTAATTTTGGATTGTATCCTGGAAATTTTGAATATTCTATTGTGAGACCCAGGATCCTGTTAATATAATATCCTCAGGAGAATGTGGAATTTTGTTTGCTTATTAGCTTTAGCAGGCAATCAACCCAGTTAGGTTCAGATGGCAAGTTTTGTCATATCTTCTGTGGGTGCTGGTTACAATGTTAGTTCAGTTTTCAAAGGCTTTGCTGTGCTATTTGGGTTAGCATGTGCTACCCTGGGGTTAGTCTGTGACTTGAGCAGTGGTTCAGTTTTCAAAGCCTTGCTCTGGTGCTTTTGCATTTCTTCCATGCTTGTGCAATTCAGAGGTGAGCCTCTGAGGTGAGAAGGGAGATTTAGTATTTCTCCCACATTCTTTGGTGCGTAGGAGCTCTTTTTCATTGTCCTCTGGAAATAGGGAGTTTCTCCTGGAGTTTTTGCTTTTAGTGCTTGTTGTACAGTTCCATTATTTGACTTGGATCAGGAGACAAAGGAGGGGAAAAAAATGTGAAACCCATTCCCCCTATTATGTCATTATTCACGTTTTAACTTAAATCCCAGTCTGACCATGATTGTTTACTTTTCAGAGTCCTCAGGTAGTTGTTTTTTGTATTCTATCCAGAAATTTTAGCTATAACCAGTGGGAGAGATTTTTGTAGGTGTTTCTCTTTTGTAAATATTTTTTTGGAAACAAATCCTGGTTTTGGTTATATATTTTTTAAATTTCCTACTGTGGCTCTAACAATAACTACAAACTGAGTGGCTTAAACAACATAAACTTCTTATCTTACAGTCCTGGAGGTCAGAAAGCTGAAATCAGTTTCACTGGGCTCACGGCAAGGTGGCGGCAGGCCTGTGTTCTTATGTAGAATCTAGGGAAGAACCCATAGAAGCCTTTTCCAGCTTCTAGGAACCGTCTGCATTCCTTGAATCATGGCCCCTTCTTCCACATTCAAAGCACATCATTCCGACTTCAGCTTCCGCCATCCCACTTCCTTCTCTGATTCTGACTCTCCTCCCTTGCCCTCCTCCTTATAAGGACCCTGTAATTGCATTGGGCCCATCATAGATAATCCAGCACAGTCTCCCATTTCTAGATCCATAACTTAACCACACTGAAAATTCTCTTTTGCCGTCTAAGGTAGCACATTCACAGGTTCTGGGAATTATGCTGTGGCTATCTTGGAGGAGGGCATTATTTTGTCTACCATATATTTTGCAAATATCCTCCGCTAGTCAATGGCTTGTCTGTTTATTCAATTAATGGTAACTTTTGATTGACAGAAGTTTCTATTTTTAATTTAGTCTAATATGTCAAACTTTTTCTTTATGATTGGTGTTTTTTTGTGTCCTACTTAAGAAATCGATGCCTACCCTCAAGTTGTATCCATATTCTTCTAAGTTTTTCATCTAGAAATGTTATTGTTTTACCTTTCACATTTAGAACTGCAATCTGCACTGAACAGATTTTTGTTTGATATGTGAAGTTGGGGAGGCAAGGTTCATTTATTTTTATATAGATATCCAGTTGCCCTAACAACTAGTCATTTCTTGAAAAGAATGTCCTTTCTCTACAGCTTTGCAGTGCCATCTTTGTTGTAAATCAGGATCCGTATATGTGTGAGTATGTTTCTGAACTCTTCCAATGCTATCCAAAGAACTTTCTGTGATAACGAAAATATTCTATATCTGTCCGTCCAATATGGTAGCCATGTGGCTACCAAGCGCTTGATATTGTGGCTAGTGTGACTGAGGAATTAAATTGTTAATCTTATTTAATTTTAGTTAATTTAAATTTAAATAGCTATATGTGGCTAGTGGTTACCATATTGAAAAGAACAGCATATTGCTCCATCGCTCTATGTGTGCCGTAGATCCCTGTGCCAATACCATACTCTCGTAATTACTGTACCTTTATAATTAGTCTTTACATTTTGTTCTTCTCCTTCAAGATTGCATTAACCACTCTAGGCTTTTTGCCTTTCCTGTACATTTTAGAATCAGCTTGTCAATTTCCACAAAAACCCTGCTGTGATTTCAATAAGAATTGCATTGAATCTATAGATCAAATTGGAGAAAATTGATGTGGTTATACTATTGAGACTTCCAATTCATGAACATGTTATCTCTCTTAATTAGGGCTTCTTTATTTTCTCTCGATAATGTTTTATAGTTTTTCAGTGTGTGTAAAGGTCTTGCTCATCTTTCATTAAAATTATTCCTAGGCATTCTGTGTCTTTTGGTATTATTGTAAATGGTATTTTTAAATTATTATTTTCTAGAGGCAGGCATATTCTTGGTATCTTTTCCCAGGTGGAGACTCAATGTTCTTGTCCACACGAGGATAAGAGGGTTGGGGAGGCCTCAGGGGTACTTGTAGGATTAGTCTTGTCTTTCCTCAGCTCATATACCTAAAGTCTACAGTTCTTGATGTCCTTAAGGTCAACAAGGAAGGAGGCCCCATCCCTGCGGAAGCAGGAACTAGCGTCTACCCAGGATGACGACTGTTAGTGAGAGCATGGATGAGAAGCTCCAGCTGTCTCAAACTTCGGATTCCAAATCCTTGATTGATACTACCTCACCTTCCCAGAGCGTAAAGTCCGACTTGTTGCCTACTGAGGAATTGACCGGGGAGGGACAGAAGTTTGACACTCTGTCATCATACATTTGGTCTGATGAAGATAATTTTGAAACATTGGAGCCCACAGACCAAGATAAGCCAAAGGATGAAGCCCCCACTGACTGCGCATCCTGGGCCAATAAAACTGAGTACCTCCTGGCCCAGGTGGGCTTCTCTGTGGGGCTGGGCACCATCTGGCACTTTCCTTATCTGTGTTTTCACAACGGAGGTGGTAAGCCTGGGGACCAGGAATCGTGGACCCATGAGGGGGTGAGGAGCCAGAGGACTGTCTTGGCTACTCCAGGGTCTCTGAGATTTGTAGGGGCTGAGGATTTGGGATTCTGACTGGGGCAGGAGCTGGGTACCTGAACACCTAGGACTTTGGGAGGATGGGAGCAGGATATCTGAATACTTAGGTTCATAGGGATTGTGGGGCTGGAGGCCTGGGTCAGGGGTAAGAGCGGAAAGTAGGTATCTGGATCTTCTAGGAATTGGGGTCCAAGGGACTGGACACCTGGGACTGTGAGGTATGTGGAAACAATGAATTCTTGATGCCTGTGGCCCTGGGGAGGTCACTGGTGGGGAATGTGATCTCCTGGACTTTGGAAGAAGTCCAGGCACTGAAAAGCCAGAGGGTTCTCAGAGCCTCTTCTTGAATCCCCTGCACAGGCAGTTTTGTCATCATCTATATCCTCATGCTGTTCTTGGTCGGGATTCCTCTTCTCTTCCTGGAGATGGCAGCTGGTCAGAGGTTGCGTCGGGGCAGCATTAATGTATGGAAGCTCATCAGCCCCTGGATTGGTGGTGTGGGGTATACCAGCTTCCTGGTGAGGAGCCCTGGGCTGCCCAGGCCTACCCTTTACCCCCCACCCCCATCCCAACCCTTGTCCTGGAATGGGTCCTATGACTTCACTTCCATGGGTCAAATCCCTTTGGTTCCGCAATCCTCAGGTCAAATCCCTCCCTTCTACTGGCCTACTTTTCTTCCCCTGCTGCCTCCAGAATTCTTTGTGTTCCCTAGGTGTGCATCATTATGGGCTTGTACTACAGTGTGCTCATGGCCTGGAGTCTCTTCTATTTGGTTCAGTCTTTCCAGTCTCCACTACCTTGGTCATTTTGCCCCTTACTGAACAGCTCCGTTGGTCTTGGTGAGAAGAGAGGGAAGAAAAGAGCAAGTGGGAGGGCTGAGAAAAGCACAGGGCAATGAAGAAGGAAGAGGATCATTGAGAGAATAGGGATGAGCAGGAAGATGATAAAATGGAATTGGAAGGAGGGGGTGGATGTGAAGAAGGGGGAGGCACCTGGTCTTGCAGTTTCCTCCATGGCCAGTTCACCTCAGATCCTGAATGTTCACGGACAACATCCACCACGTACTTCTGGTACCGGAAGGTATTGGAGGCCACAGATGAAATCGAGATCGGTGGGCTACCGGTCCTGCATCTCACCATCTCTCTCTTTGTGACCTGGTTAATTATCTGCATCTCCATGGTCAAAGGGCCCAAGTCTATTGGGAAGGTGAGCCACTCTCTGACTTACTAAGATGATGGACTCCCTTCTGTCTGAGACCCCCTGACGTGCTCCTAACTTGATGCCTGTAGGTCTCCAACTTCTCACTCCTTCTAATCTGACCTCTCATTCCCAATAGCCTTTAATTCCACTCTCCCAACTTCTGCCTTTGTGAACTCTATTTCTGAATCATACTTCCTACTTAGATGCTGTATGTCTCAGTACTCCTTCCCTACATCATCCTTTTCTGTCTCGTTATCCGGAGTCTCACGCTGAAAGGTGCAGATTTTGGTCTCAAGAGTTTGTTGGCTGCCAAGGTGAGGTGTCCCCTGCCCTTTAGTCCTCTTATCCAAATGGGGGTGTCAGGGACAGTATAGTTGTCAATTTGATAGAGGCCCTCCTAGCTCCCTCTTTCACTCCCTTCTCGTCTTCTGTCTCCCTCACGATTTACCTCTCCTTCCTTTATACCCCAATTTGCATGGTATTTCTCCTCCCCAGGTGTCAGCCTTGTACTCTTTGGAAGTGTGGCGCCGGACAGGGAACCAAGTCTTTTTGTCCAGGGGCTCCGGCTTTGGCAGCTTCACCGCAATCAGCTCGTACATCCCTCGGTCCAACAACTGTGTCATTGACGCCTTTGTTGTGGCTCTTCTCAACTTGACCTCCTCATTGACAGCTACGGTGTTTGTATTTGCCTTAATGGGCCACTTGGCTACAGAGAACAGCGAAAAATGTTACCTGCAGTGAGCACAGTCTTTCATATGCAGATCGTCACAAAGACCAAAGTCTTAGAAATAGACCACGAAACGCCAGTCTAGGCCCCATCTCTCAGGGATATTGGTTCAGTCAATACGGGGCCCTCAGATTGGAGCATCCTAAACCTTAGAAGCACCTGAATTTCTCCAACTCTATCTCTTTCAGGGCTGGCTTTCTAAACTAGGAAAGCCCCAAAGTTGGAGGTTTTCAAAGGTGTGTTTGCTCCATTCTTAACTGGGGACTGCCATGGAAAAATCAGAGGATACTTTTAGCTGAATGATTAGAGAGAGAGAGAAAAAAAAAAGACCCACAGCACCAGAGCCCCATAGCCTATTCCTCATTTTCTTCTCCTGTGACATTCATTCCAAAAATTCTTATCAGACATTTATAAAACATCTATCTACCAAACCCCATGTTGAGTCCTGGAAACATAGCTGTTGGTGAATCAGACCACAGCCCTGACCTCAGGAAAATCATAGTCTTTTGAGAAAGCAGATACTAAACAGATAATCACAAACTAAATGAAACTGGTAGTAGGCATGATGAGGAGACACAGAGGAGGAAGCTACTGATTTCCTGGGGCACTCAGAGAAGGCTTCCTAGAGGAGGCAATCCTGAGCTGAGTTTGTCTTTTGACAAATAACCACTGCTTGTATTCTTTCAGATATTTCCTATTCATAGACCTATATATAAAAACATACCATTTTCCAAAAATTGGATCATACCATACTACTTTTCTGCAGCTTGTTGATTTGCCCTTATCAAAATAGATTCTTAGGGGGTAGGGGGAGGGCAAAAGGAGTAAAAGGGCGCATATGTATGATGACAGATGGAAACTAGACTTTCGTTGGTGAACACGATACAGTCTATACAGAAGTCGAAATGGTATGATGTACACCTAAAATTTATATAATGTTATAAACCAATATGACCTGAATAAAAATTTAAGAAATGAATAAAACACACGCACACACAAAGATAAAGAGAATAGATCTTGAATGCCTTTTCATGGCAGTAAATTGAGTTCAGTGAGCTGAGAAAGGATTTGAAGGAATTTGCCATATAGAGAATGTGTGTGAGGATAGAATTGGGGGAGACTGAGTTGGGATGGAGTTGGGTAGTTCTAGGCAGAGAGAACATCATGTACCAAAGATACTGGGACAAGAGAGCATGGCAGCTTGGAGAAGGTTTAATAGTTGAGTATGGCTAAAGTGTGGAAGGAATAGAGTTGTGAGTAAAGAGGTTGGAGAGGCCAGCATGTCAAGAAAGCTGAGAAGTTTAACATTATCCAGAGATTGTCTAGTAGGAGGTAAGAGTCCTAAAGCCCTCAATGATACTATAGGAAAGACTCCTCTAGGGGTCCACTTAGGTCAGAAATTCTCTGGCCTCACACAAACACCTTTGTGATTATGAAAGTAGATGTCAGGCAGTGTGCACAGATCCTGGAGGCCTGGGTTTCAGCACAGGCTCTACTTTAAGCAGATCAAGAACTCTAGGCTAGTGATTTCCCTTCTCATCTGGAAGATAATGGAGGAGAAGTTATCTTAAAGGGCCAAATGGTTTTATATGATTCTACCCTCGTCTCCAGGAATGCTGAAACAGTGATGAAACTGGTAGCTACTGGGATGATCTCTCCTGAGGACCAGCCCCCAGCTAGTCTGTATCATGATCCAAGCTCCATCTACTCCAGGTGGTTCAGCAGCCTCCCCAAGCAAGTCAAAAGTGTGGTCCTACCTCATTTGTCTGAGTGCAACTTACCTGAGAAATTAAAGGAGGTAGGTAAGGGCTGGGGATGGGGCCCTAGAGTTCCTCTCAAAGCTCCCAGTGCACCAGGAACTTCAGCCCTTCTTAGGTGTCTGTAGAATCCAGAAAAATCCATCCTCAGCAGCATCCTGGACAACCAAGACGAAGGTTCACAGTGTCCTTTTGTGATGAGGCAGTTGTAGCCTCTGTAGCACCAAGCACTAGAGTGCATGTAAGCCATTCGCCCCAAAGAGTTGTTAACCCAAAAGAGTTGTTAAAGCAGCAGCTGTTGTAGGAGGAAGTTCTCGTGCCTCAAGGCCGGATGGGTATGTGACATTCGTTAACAGTGCTAAGATCATTTTCTAGGAAACGGGACAGAGTTAGGACTCTACGGACTGAGCTCAGAGCCCTTGTCATTCCTCCCTTCACTCACAGGTTATGGTGGGTCCGGGTGTGGCCATCGTGGCATTTACTGACATCATCTCCGTGTTTTCTGGATCCACCTTCTGGGCCATTATTGTTTTCTTGTTGCTGGCAAACCTGGGGCTGGGCACCATGACAGGGATCTTGCAGGGCCTCGTTACCCATCTCCAGGACACCTTCTCTTCCCTCAGGAAACAAACAAAGCTGCTCACAGGTACTCTGACCTATGACCCCATTCCCACCTATGGGCATTGTTTAGCTTAATCCTGCTGGGACTCTTATACAGACCGAGTTGAATTCTGACATTGATCCAAATCTGATGCTTTCCTCCAGTGGGTGTCTGTGTGCCTATGTTCCTGGGCAGCCTCATTTTCGTAAGGCCCTCAGGCATCTACTACCTGAACCTGCTGGATGATTACTGGGCATCTCTGCCCCTCTTCTTCATTGTCATCTTGGAGAACGTGGCCGTGGCCTGGATCTATGGGGCCAGGAGGTGATGTTCCAAACCCAGGATCTCCTACATGCACCCACACAGCTAGAGTCCCTAAGGAGGGTTCACCCCTCCTGCTCTCACCCTCAGGAGGGTGGGAAGGAGAGAGGCACGAGCTGGTTCCCGGAGAAAACAGCTGTAAAATGGACAAGTGGTAAACAGTCTATATTAAAGTCCTGGGGCTCCCGAGCCCTACTTTTAAACAGGGTAGTGTGGACATCTGAAACGTGTAATCCCTTGCTTCTCAAAGTGTGCTCAGTGGACCAGCAGCATTGGAATCACCTGGAAGCTTATTAGAAATGCAGACCCTCAGGCTCCACCCCAGATCTTCGAATCTATTTCTGCATTTTACCAAGAACCCCAAGTGATTCATTTGCACACTAACATTTGAGAAGCACCGTGTAATCCAAGGATGGCTGCATTTCCAGGTGATAGAGGTTCCTGGCATCAGTTCATTCATTCGTCCACTCACTCACTCTAAAATATTTCTTAGGGCCTCCTGTGTGCTAGGCAGGCCTTGTGGTGAGTACTGGGGATACTGGGATAAATTACATTTCATTTCTGCTCTTAGAGCCCAAAAAGGAAGACATATGTAAGCAGATCGTTGGCAGGTTGGTAAGTCTATGACAGAGGCAACCAGGAGCACTCTAGGAACACAGGTGGTTACCTAAAGAAGTCAGGCAAGGAGAGGATGCTTGAACAGAATCTAGACAGAAGAAGGGGAGTTTGTCAAGGGAGAGAAAGAGAGAAAGGCATTCTAGACAGAAGGAACCCAACTTACACATGTATTGGGGTTAAGAAGGTGCACCAAAGAGAGCTGGATATATGGACTTGAAAAAACTGCATTTAGAAACCTGGCTTTTATCCTGAGGGTGATGGGGGAGAGAAATGTTTAAAAAAAATTCCTAGGGCTGGGACAGATATCAGACTGAAAGGAGGTGAATTAGAAGCAAGAAGACTGGTTGTGGAGGTGAGTAGAAGGGTTTCAGAAATGTTAAAGGCTCTCTTCCAGGCTGGCTTTGCTCTGACTGCTCCCCCAAGGTTGGGTAAGGCTGAGGAGGCCTCCTAAAGCCTTGTTGCTCTTCCTCCCAGGTTTCTTTCAGACCTGAGTATCATGCTGGGCCACCCCATCTCCCCCATTTATCGTTGGCTATGGTGCTTTCTGTCTCCACTTGTGCTCCTGGTCCTGTTTCTGAGTGCCCTGTTTCATCTGTATACGAAGACCATCACCTACTTGGCCTGGGACTCAAGCATTGTGAGCCTCCCTCCCCAGACCCCAGAACCCCTTATGGAGTGGGGACAAGACTTTTCAATCCACTCTTGCCTCTAGGACTCAGTCATCTTATTCCCTGATGCCCTGGGGATTTGGTTATCTAGTCTCTTGCCTTGGTTTGTCTCCTTCCCCAACCCTCTGCAGCCTTCCACTTCGGAGAACCTGGGTATTCTAAACCTTCCTTCCCTTTCTCCACAGTCAAATGAGGTGCACCGAACTTATCCATCATGGGCCAAAGTCTTGCTTGTAGTCCTCATCGTTGTTACCATCTTGCCCATCCCTGCCTACTTCTTGTACACCCTCCTTCAGGTGACTCTCTCAGTCTCCATGATCCACAGTAGGGCCACAATAATCTTCAAACCTGAAGCTAAAGGGAACTTCCCGAAGCCCCATCCACGGCTCCAGGGGAGGCAAAGTCAAAAGAAGATTAGTAAAGTGGATACATAACCAGGGAAAAAACTTTCTACCACATGAGTTATTCCTCTTGGAAATAAAGACTTGGTTCACTGGATACAACATCATTTCCTTTTCAAAGTGGAACTCCCTGGCTGGCCACTTGACATTAGAAGAGGTAAATGTAGCAACTGCTGATGTCACTGGATCCAGAGACCTTTTGTTTTCCTTGATTGGGAAAGTTTTCTGGCCTGATGAGGATTAACATAGCAGTCTTTCCCCACATCTCCCACACTTTCCCTCACCAGACCCGTAATAATGGTGTTCTTTGATTTCCAGTATTTGGTTGATGGTGACTGCTGACCCTACTTCTCCTAGGCTACCTTCCTCTTGGAATTGGTCTGTGTAGGGTCTGGCCCCTAGGAAACTAGGGCAGAAATGGTGGTGGTAGATAAACCAGTTCAGTGGAACTTAACTTTTGTCATAAAAAAGTGTCTAACTCCCAGTCTTGCCTTCCAATGACTCTGTTAAATTCAAATGCTAGAATCTCAGGTGTCTCTGCCTGGTGCTTCCTCTAGTAAACTGGACCAACTAGAGACAATTTGCTCAGAAATCAGTGGATTCACTGATTATGGCAAAGTGGTTAACTATAGGCTAATTAGTGACCTTCTCATATATCTCTTAAATACTTGGAATAGTTAATTACTTTACCACTTCGGCCAAGGGGCTTAAAACTTTGCACAACATTGTATCTTTTTACTAAAGTGGTCTAGGAGCCTCGAGGAAGGGTATTCGGTGGGGAATGAGGGAGAGAGTAGAGATTGACTATGGAGATTGAAGAATACCCAAGGAGGACTTCATTTGGGGCAATGGGACGATAAAATAAGACAAACAAAACACACTATATTACAAGATACCTAAAATGTAACATAAAATATATTTCGATAATCCTCTTTAAATGCATAGATGAGCTTAGAAGAAATTGAGAGAAATCTTTAAGAAGTCAAAAATTAAGCCTAGGCTTGAATTCAGGTAGGTAAGCAAGTGTTAAAGCCAGTAACTGCTTTGGGACAATTGCTGCTCTCTGGTAACTTAGAGATTTGGGGTTTATATGCTAAGTGAAGACAAAGCCTTGGGTCCGTGAAAGAAAAGGAAACCCCTATACATAGAAAGCTGAAGGGCTATACCTCCTGTGAAAGAGTTAGATAGCAAGAAAATGTGTATGTCTTGGTCTTGTCTCTGATAGGAGGGAAGTAGTGTCATTTTTGAAAATTTGTAACCCCAAATCTTCTGTCACATGGGATTTTGGTTCAAATTCACACAACCTGCATGGTTTGAAAAATCTAAGTTGAGATCAATATAAAACGTGCCTGGAGAATAGCACCTTGCTCCCTGGCACTTGTCATAAATAAATATAAATAACTATGGGGGAAACACAGCCTCTGTTGGGCCTCATAGAATTCCCACAGATAAACTTTCAATGAACGTGAGGCCACAAAAAACACAAGGTAACAAGACACCTTAATAGCAGCACCAACAAGTAGCAGAATCAGACCTGAAAAGATGGAATGTACTGGAATTATCAGGTACATAATATAAAATTAATATGCTTAATATATTTAAAGACAAAAAGAGGGTGTTGAAATTGAAAGCAAGGAACAAGAGAGTCCCAAAAATGACCAGGGTATTTGAAAAAGAACTAATAAGAGCTTTTAGAAAGGAAAAAATCATTAAGATTAAAAACATCAATGGATGGGTTAAACAACCAATTAAAAAAACTAGGAAAAGAGACAAATCTGAGGAAATTACCAATAATGTAACATAGATAAACTCCAGTATTAAACGTATGAGATTAAGAGACATGGAGGATAGCAGAAGAAAGTCCAACATACATCTAATAGGAGTTCCAGAAAGAGGCCATTGGAAGAACAGGTCAGAGGCAACATGCGAAGAGAAAAATGCTGAACTTTTTCCAAAATCCGGGAAAGACACAAGTGTTTGGACTGGGGAAACAGCATATCCAAAGGAGGATTTAAAAAAAAGGAAACTGCAGCACTCCAAAAATAGATCTAAAGAGTGATCAGGCAGAAAAGGCATGACCTACATCGGAATGCCACTCTTGCAGCTGGTTTCTTATCAACAGCAGGGGAAGCCAAGAGATAGGAACTATCGACTTAGAATTGTAAATCCAACAAACACTATTTCGCAAGAACAGAGCAAAAGACACATATTTTCAGGCAGACAAAACAGTCTTCCACCCACAAATCTTTGGTAAAGAATGTACTACAAGGAGAAGTAAAATGATCCCAGAAGGAAGATCTGAGACCTGAGACAGAAGAAAGGCCAAGCCAAGAAAATGATGGTGATGTGGGTAAATGTAAACACATACTGAGTCTATAAAGCAATAAAAACAGCGGTTAATTTGTAAAGTTAAAAAACTGACATAAAGTACTGGACAACAGTAACACACACTAGAGATATTCACCTCAGCGGTGTGATAAATGTAATACTGATCTTCAGACTTTGATAAGGGTGCATGTTAAAATTACAAGGGTAACTACTAAAAAAGATAGAAACCATTTATAATTTCTGTATTAGTTAAGGTAAATAATGATAGCTTCTCTAACAGATCAGATACAAAATCTCAGTGGCTTCATACAATCAAATTTTATTTCCTGCTTATAAAATATGGTACAGTATAGCCTGGAATGAGGGTGGGGGGCCTCTACGTCATTCAGTCATTAAGGAACCCAGACTGCTTTCATCTTGGGGCTCTTCCTTCCTCTTGATTCTGGAGTTCTTGCCAGTGAGCTGGTGGATGGGGAAAGAGAATGAGTTTTACGGACCAGGTCCGAAAGTGAAGCACATCGCTTCTGTTTACATTCCACTGACCAGAACAAGAAGGCTAGAAGGACAGAGGAACACAGTTATTAGCAAGCACTTATAAAAGAACTGAATAAATCCAACATAAGTAGAAGGAAGAAAATACTAAGTAGCAGAAATTAGTGATATAGAAAATGGGATCAACAAAGTCAAAAGCTGCTTCAAAAAAACAAAAATCTAGTTTTTACAAATGCAGCAGAGATGCCAAAAAATTAATGAGAGAATTCAATGAACAACTTTAGGCTTTGAAATTTTTGAATGAACAAAATCCTACAAGACCGAGGAAGTGATAGCCCTTAGCGGGAGACCCAGGATTTCAGATTGCCTAATGATGCAGGGTGAGCTGCCCTTGAGAGGGTTGTGGGGTGAGGGTGAGGTTTGAAGTTTGGGGTGCCTCGTCAGAGAAGAACTGTTGTCCAAGGGGCCCTTTTCTCTGGACTTTCTCATTTACTCCTGCTGAGACGGCGTTAGTTTGGCGGTTGAAAGAGCTTGATTACTATGGAGGAGTTGAGCAGCGCCCACTTGGAGGGTCTGGTTCCACTTGTTTTCCATTGGCTCCTACCTCGTCTCTTGGCCCCGCCCACTCGTTCACCTCTTGGTTTCCACCTCTCAAGGTAAACCAGTAAAGTGATTTAGGAGTAGGAGACTCCAGTCTGACTTGTCTGCCCTCTCTCCACAGCATACCCAAAATTCAGTCTTAGTTCCGCCTGCTTTCTCCCTTCCCTCTCAAGATTCCTTTGTCCAAAGGTCTAAGATTTTCTTTATAACAGCTTTATTGAGATGTAATCCATGTACAATACAGTTCACCTATTTAAAGCTTACAATTCAATATTTTTTAGTACATTCATAGAACTGCTGAATTTTACCAAATACATTTTTACCTTGTTGATAGATTTTTTTATATTGACCCATCCTTGTGGAATCAATCCTTCATTAGTCATAACGTATTATCCCTTTGATATATTGCTAGATTCTATTTGCTAATGTTTAGTTTGTTCATCTAATCATCATAAATGAAATTTTTTCATTCTACCCATCTTTTTCAGATTTTCGTATTAAAGTTACGCTAGCTCCATAAAGTAAAATGAGGAACTCTCCATCTTTTTCTGCAATTTAGGCCACTGCCTCTCAAACTTTGGTATACCAAAGAATCACCTGGGGGATTGGTTAGCAGATTCTTGGGCCCCACCCCCAGTGATTCTGATTGAGTAGATCTGAATTTGGATCCATTCATTTGCATTTGTATCAAGCCTCCAGGTAATACAAGTGGTTCATGGACCACAATTTGAGCCTCATGGTTTAATTGGTACTACAACCATTTGCTTTTTATTTTTTTATTTTTTCAAAGATTTTCTTTTTCCTTTTTCTCCCAAAGCCCCCTGGGTACATAGTTGTGTATTTTTAGTTGGGGGTCCTTCTAGTTGTGGCATGTGGGATGCTGCCTCAGCATGGCCTGATGAGCAGTGCCATGTCCACACCCAGGATTGGAACTGATGAAACCCCGGGCCACTGAAGCAGAGTGCGCGAACTTAACCACTCAGCCACAGGGCCGGCCTCCCATTTGCTTTTTAAAGGTTAAATAGAACTCAGCTCTGAATCCATCTGGTCCCAGTGCCTTTTCAATGATAGATCTTTACTCGTCTTCCCAATAACTTCTGTTAATTTTTCCCCCAAAATTCTTGGGTCACTTTTAGTAATTTACATTTACTAGATACTGTCAGTGTCCTCTAGGGTTTCAGATTTGTTGATGTAGAATTTCATATAGGATTCCCTTAAAATTCTGATTTTGATGGCTGTATCTCTTTTCTCATTCTTACTATTGTGTACTTTGTTCCTATGACTTTTCTTAAATCAGGCTCACAAGCAGCATTTGGATTTTTGGATCACTTATGATTTTTTTATTTTCTATTGCATTAATTTCACTTTTTATCCTTATCATAATTTCCCTCTTTCTAGTTTGCTTTGTCATTATTCTAATTTCTTAAGGTGAGTTTAAGTTCCTTTTTTTCAATCTTTAGTCTCTAATAATAAAGTGACTTAGAGTTCTAAATTTTTGTATGATTTTTGCTGTGTTCCAAAGGTTTTGGTATTAAATATTCTCCCTTTTATGCTTCCTGGAAACTTTGTGATTTTCCCCTTAGTTTCTTAGTAATCCAAGGATTACCCAGAAGTATATTTCTTAATTTCCAAGTAATTAAAAGTTACTTTATCTCTCTTAAAATTGTTTCTTTCTAATACTACTGTGTATCTATTAAATAGTATTTATTGTTCGCATTACTCAATTTCTCTGTGTCCTTACTTTTTTTTCCCATTAGATCTATCAATTCTGAAAGAGATGTATGATGTTCCTATTGTTGTTATATTTTAATCTTTGGTTTTGTAATGGTCTGTATATTTTGTAATCTATATATTTGGTAATGCTTTATATATTTAGCTACCCTGTGATAGCGGTGGAGCACTGTCTGATGCCGCGCCGGAAGATGAGAGGATGGCACAGGGGGGTGAGGCAGGGTTCCACTCGGCTGTCCGCAGGCGTTGCTAAGAGTTGGAATCCACATGATAGCACTAACAAAACAAAATATTGTTTGGTATATATAGGTTTATGGCTGTTGTTTCTTCTAGCTGCATTGGACATTTACTTTTTTTTTTACTTTATTAATTTTCTGAGCATTAGCTATTATATAATATCTCTATTTAATACGTTCAGTACTTTTAACCTTAAATTCTGCTTTCTCTGAAATTAATATCACAATTTTTGCTTTGTCTTTGTTTGCATTTACTTTGTTTCACTTTGCCCACCCATTTGTTTTCAACTTTCTTTTCTCTTTTTGTATTATGTTGAGGTTACTTGTTAACAGCACTTAGTTGGATTTCTTTTTTAATCCCTCTCTGCAGCCTCTGGTCTTTAATAGGTGAATTCAGTCTGTTCACATTTAGTGTAATGACTGACATTTTTCTTAAATTTTTTCTGAGTTGGTCAAGTTTTCTTTTTTTTTTTTTAAGATTGGCGCCTGAGCTGACATCTGTTACCAATGTTCTTCTTTGTTTTTTTCTTCTTCTCCCCAAAGCCCCCCAGTACATAGTTCTATATTCTAGTTGTAGGTCCTTCTGGTTGTGCTATGTGGGACACTGCCACAGTGTGGCCTGATGAGCAGTGCTAGGTCTGTGCCCAGGATCTGAACTGACGAAACCCTGGGCCACTGAAGCAGAGTGTGTGAACTTAACTACTTGCCGCAGGGCCGGCTCCTGAGTTGATCAAGTTTATATTCACGTTTCCTCTTGTTGATGTGGAGGCTCTGTTGCTCTTTTCCCCTAATGGGTCCATTCACCTTGCAGTGCTCATAATCACAAGTCTATTTCTCTAATATGATTGGAAAACAAGGTACCTACTATTTCCGCCACCAAGATGCCCCATTTCTGCCATCCCCTCACCCCCAATAAGATGAGACATTTGGAACTCTTTTCCTTTCCCTCATTATTTCACCCCTAACTCCTAGATTTTTGCTGAGATAGTATGGAACTAAAAGTATTAAACTATTATTAAACTTCTCTTGGAGTTTGTCCCTTTTGAGTAAAAAAAATCCTATTTAGAGAATTTTTACACATTCCTGGGAAGATTATCATTATCTAGTATTTAATTACTGCACATGTATTCATATATATGTATATATACACTTTCACTTGTACGTGTACTTGGGCATATATATGTATGTATAAAACAGGATTCAGAGTCTATTATTTACCACATATTACTTCCCCTCATTTTCCTCCTTTCTTTTGAGTTCTTTGTTCTGATTTGTTTACTCTTTCACTTGAGTCCTTTCTAAAGGATTTTCCTCAGATGAAGGACATACATGATACTCTCTATAAAACCTTGTGTATCTTCAAATATCTTGTTTTACTTTTTTGCCCTGAAAGTTAATATCTTGCCTGAATAAAGGATTCTCAGGTTGCCATTCTTTTTTTCTCTTATTATCTCTGTAGATATGTTATTCCATAGTCTTCTGCCTCCCAGTGCTGGAGATGAGAAGTCCAATGGTAGTCTGATCCTTTTTTTCTTTATATGTAACTTATTTTTCTATCTGATGCCTGTGAGATTTGCTCTCAATTCTTGGAGTTCACAGATTTCACCAGGATATGCCCAGATATATATCTTTTCTTATCAGAACTGCCTGGAAGCCAATGAAGGCTTTAACAGTGCAAAAGATGGGTTTTTCCTTAAGGGAAGACATTACCTTTCATTACTAGTTTACTTGTTGCTTCTTCTCCATCTGTTCCCTTTACTTTGGGGACCACTGTTATTCATATGTTAGAGATTTTTTCCCAGCTTTATAGAGATATAGTTGATTTATAGCATTGTGTACATTTAAGGTGTACAACGTGATGATTTGATACACATATGTATTGTGAAATGATTATCACAATAGAGTTATAACGTTAACACCTCCATCATCTCATGTAATTACCTTTTTTTGGTGGCGAAAACACTTAAGATCTACTCTTTTAGCAACTTTTACGTATGTCATATAGTAGTTAACTATACGTACATTGGATCCCCAGAACTTATTTCTCTTAAAATTGGAAGTTTGTATCCCTTGACCAACATCTCCGCATTTCCACCATTCCCCAGACCCCAGCAACCATCTTTCTACTCTCTGTTTCTATGAGTTTGTCCTTTTCAGATTCCACATATAAGTGAGATCATACAGTATTTATCTTTCTCTGACTTATTTCACTTAACATAATGCCCTCAAGGTCCATCCATGTCATTGCAAATGGCAGAATTTCCTTCTTTCTCATGGCTAAATAATATTCCATTGCTGGGTTTTTTTAAAGATTGGCACCTGAGCTAACGTCTGTTGCCAATCTCCTTTTTTTTTTTTTTTTTTTTTTTTGCTGCTTCTCCCCAAAGTCCCCCAGTACATAGTTGTATATTCTAGTTGTGAGTGCCTCTGGTTGTGCCATGTGGGATGCCACCTCAGCATGCCATGTCCGCACCCAGGATTAGAAACAGTGAAACCCTGGGCTACCAAAGCAGAGCTTGAGAACTTAACCACTTGGCCATGGGGCTGGCCCTTCCATTCTTTTTATGTATAACATTTTCTTTATTCATTTATCCATAGATGAACATTTAGGTTGTTTCCATATCTTGGCTATTGTGAATAATGCTTCACTGAACACGGGAATGCAAGTATCTCTTTGAGATTAATTCCCTCGGGTATATGCCCACAAGTGGGATGGCTGGATCATAAGCTAGTTTGTACTTTACTTATTTTTCAACAGTCTTCATTTTATATGCATATTTGTCTATTGGGTTGTTGATCCTTTTATGTAATTTTTAAAGCTCTGTGTATATTAGGGAAATTAAGCCCTTTGTCATAAATATTGAAATTTTTTTACAAGTTTGATACCTTTTAACTTGGTTCATTTTCTTTTCATTTTCCCACACAGAGGTTTTGTTTTTATATAGTCAAACTTATCAAATTTTTCCTTTATGGAGTCTTGTTTTTATATTCTTCTTAGAAAGCCCTTCCCTGTGCCAAGATGATAGAAATGTTCACCCATACTTATTGGTAGTGAATTACGTTTTTCATTTTCCACGTTGTGATCTTGACCCACCTGAAATGTATTTTGATGTAAGGAGCACAATTCTTTCCCAGGTGTCTTGCCAGCTGTTACAGCCCAATCACTGAATAACTCGTGCTTTGTCCACTGATTTGAAATGCCACTTTATCACATCCTGATTTCCATCAGTACCCAGGTCCTCTTCTAGATTATTTTATGCCCTCAAGCTACTTGTGTAAATCTGCTCCAGGACCACCCTGTTTTAGACATTGAAGCTTTATGCTACGTTGAGTCTTTATAGCACAGCGGTGAAGAGGTGAACTCTGAAACAAGCCGCCTAGGTTCTTATGTTGGCTCTCCCCTTCCACAATCCACAAAGTATGTTCACCACTAAGTCTACTAGCCAGACTAAATCTGCCTGGCAACCGGTGACCTCCCTCCACCCACCGCAGGGCCAAACCTGCCTGCCAACTGCTGACCCCAAGAATCCTCCCTCAAAGAATAAACTAGGAGAGAAGATGCTCCAAGGAGTCAGGGAAGATGCAGTGGGAAGGAACGGGAAGACCTGAGCTGTGCTTCACAGCGAAGCACACAGATCGTCAGCTTTCAGAGCTCTGGGTACCATGGGGCCAAGACCGTGGCAGTGGTCTACGACCTGAAGATCTGGAGCCCAGACGAGTGAATCAACAGAGGCAGGGGCAGGGTCTGTGCTGGGGGTCTGTAGGGGGCACTTCAGATGTAAGCATCTCCAGGGTGAATTGCCTAAATCGCCTTCCGGCTGCCGCGAAATACTAAAATCGCCTCTGGCCCCAACGGCAGTGGCTCCCGCAGCCCGTCAGGTCCTGGTCGCGCGCCCAGACAGCCCCCCACCCCCCGCAAGAGCCCTCAGAAGCGACCGGTCTTCTCCAGACTCGCGCGTCAGTGGCGGGTAAAGAGAGATGCAGGAGTCCTGGCCCCAGCTCCTGACCTCCCGGGGAGCCAGGCGTCTGTTCCCCCAGCCACCACCCCTCCGTCTCTGGGCCCAAACCTCCCAGCCTCCCTTGCCATCTCCCTTTCATCCCAGGAACTAGGGGGTCGAGGATGCCCTGAGCCTGGGAGGGGAGGGGCGGACCCGGGGCGCGAAGGGGCGGGGTGGTAGAGGCCAGCGAGCGGAGCAAGGGTTCGGTGACCCATCCCACCCCCTCCTCACCCCAGCCCTCCTCGCTCTCCTCCCCGCTTCTCTCTCTCTCTCCACTCAGGTCGCGGATGGGTCCGCCCTGGAGACACCGACATATCCCCGCAGGTGCCCGGGGCTGAGGCCGGTGGGGCTGGGATGCGGTAGGTGTGCCCTGACTCGCTCCGAGGTGGACTCCGGGGACCCTCCCGGCCGGATCAAACGGTTTCTTAGCTGGCCTTCAAACAGGTTGTCGCTCCTTTGTTTCTCCGAGACCCTGGCGGAGAGTAGACGGAGCAGGGGTCACAGAGGCCGAGGAAGACCCAGCGCACAGATCCAGGTCGGCCGGACTGGTGACAGAGACGATTATCCCAGGCCGAGGCTGAAGGCAGAGGGAGCATCGGCAGCAGAGTGAATTGCAGGTACGAAGCCTTGAAAGGGTGACAGGGGGGTGGCTGCAGCTGGAGGCAGGGTGGGAGGTGGGAACAGGAACAGGACGCAGGGGACCTTTGAGGAAGGACCCTGGGTGCTGAACTAAACAGGGCCATGAGGCCCCTCGGGGAGACTTAAGCAGACGATAGACTTGATCAGGTTTATATAATAACTCTGGAATATTAAGTAGCCATAAAAATCATATTTTCAAAGAATGCTTTATTACAGAGGAAAATACTTATGATATAATGGAAATATATATGTGTAATCTCCAAGCTATCTCCAGTTTGTAAGAAATGCACACACATATGTTCATAGAGAATATATCAATATATATTTGTATGCTATATGTTACCTTTAACCATATTATCCCATGTATAATACATATTCTATAACAATATCCAATTTGTAAGAAAGACACTTATGTTCATGGAATATATTAACGTGTTTATATTCTATATATATGTCCAATAAATAATATATATTAATAATAATATCTGATTTGTAAGATATACACATGTATGAAATATTCACATATACATATGATATCATATCATACAATTTATAAGATTGGCTGTGCCGCTTTCCAAAACCTTAAAGGAGAGAACATTTTAAATCATGGTATCTTTTAAGATTGTGTGGGGGCCAGCTCCATGGCCTAGTGGTTAAGTTCATGTGCTCCGCTGAGGCAGCCCAGGGTTCGGATCCTGGGCGAGGACATGGCACTGCTCGTCAGGCCACACTGAGGCGGCGTCCCACATCCCACAACTAGAAGGACCTGCAACTAAGATATACAACTGTGTACAGGGGGTGGGGCGGTGGTTGGGGAGATAAAGCAGAAAAAATAAAAAAATGATTGTGTAGGCTTTGCACCTAGTTAAACTAAAACCAAGAGGAAGCCAATGCCCCCACTTTGCAAATCACATCCTCCCTCAGCCATCTTCTCAAGTCGCCAGGTCAAATCCACCTGGCTGGTGTGCAGCTGTGGTACAGAAGCCGATGCTGGTGCCAGCACTGCCCACAGAGGAGGTGTTTGCAGGGCAGGGGGACTGCCCATCGGGCTGGAGTCTGGGCACTGGGCTCTTGAATGGGGCAGGGGGTGGAACGGGACAAGCCACATTTCCCAAACCAGATTTGGACACTGGTTACCCAACAGGGGCTGTCCTAGTGACACAGAAAGTCAGGGAGATGCAATCTGAATAGACAAATAGCAGCATTTCCAGATTTCAACAGTTTGTGGAAGCATTTTAATCAGGACTGCCCCCGGATGGAGCCTATGGGGGCCACTGCACTGGGCATGTGAAAGGACGTTTCCTTTCACATGAGGTTCTTAAAACCTCAACAGATCTCTGGAGACTTCCAGCTACATGTCAGGCCCTGCAGCAGGGAAGCAGCCCAGGTGATCAGGGTCGGCTTTCTGGAGGAAGTTAGATCTGAGAGGAGACACCAGTGATGCGTTGAATTTATCTGAATGAGGAAGGATGGGAAGGGACATTAGGGAGGGCGTTAGTGTGAGAAAGAGCAGCCAGAAAGGAGTTTTCTACGCATTTACATGCGTATTTATGAACGCTTAGAAATGTGTGGTTTTCTTTATGTGGATCTTTTTCTCATAAATGGTATCATACATTTGATATTCTGTGACTTTTCACCTAGCAGTGTGTTTTGGACTCCGTTATGTTCTTTTATACATATATACCTCTTTTTTATTATAAAATATAATACATATTCCAAAAAGTGTACAAAACTGAAATGTTCCACTCAATGATTTGTTATAAAGCAAATACTCCCACCATCCTGGTCAAAAAAGGAGAACATCGCCTACATGCTAGAAACACTCCCGTGAGCCTCTTCCAACCACCGAGGCCTCCTGCCCCCCAAGGAGTCACTCTCCTGACCCTCACGATCATCACTTCTTTGCTTTTATTTATGGTTTTACCACCTCAGTATGCACACCTGAACACTTACGTTACTTTTGCCTGTTTCTTTTGGACTTTTATATAAACAGAGCCATAGGACATGTATTCTTCAGGACATAGCTTCTTTCACTCAGTGTGAAGTTTTTGAGACTTGTCCATGTCATTAAGTGTAGCTGTAGTTCATGTCTTTTCTTTACTGTGTAGTATTCCTTTGTAGCGACCATATCCCTCTCTATCCTTGCTACTGTGATGGATTTCTAGGTTGTTTCCTTTTGGGGTTGTTGCAAACAATGCTATTAAGGAAATTCCTGTGCATGTGTACACACGTTTTTGTTGCACTTATACCTAGGAGTGAAATTGCTGTTCACAGGATGTGTATATCTTCAATCTTAACAGATAATGGCCGACTCATCTTTCAAAATAACTTTGTCAGTTTCCATTCCCACCAGCAGTGTATAAGATTTCCCGCGGCTCCTCATTCTTGCCAATATTTGGCGTTCTCAGTCTTTTCGTTCTAGCCCGTCTGACTGGTGTGTGGTGGTACCTCATAGTGCTTTTAATTTCCGTTTCCCTGCTGATTAAATAACCTGAGCATTTTTTCATACATTCACTGGCCATTTGGAGAACCACTTTGGTGAAAGATCTCTTCAAGTTCCTTGACTATGTTTCTATTAGGTTATTTATATTTTCTTATCGATTTGTAGGAGCTTTTTATAGATTCCAGATAAAAGCCCTCTATTAGCTACGTGTTTGGCAACTTTCTTCTACTCTGTGGCTTTTGACTCTTTTAATGGTGTCTCTTAATGAACAGATGTTCTGAATTCTAATGAACGCAGATTTATCTCTTATTTCCCTATGGTTACTGTTTTCTAAGTCTTGTTTAAGAAATCGTTCTTAACCTCCAGATCATGAAGATATTCTCCAAAGATAACTTCTTTAGAAGCTTTATGAATTTGCCTTTCATGTTTAAATCTGTAATCCTCATGATTTAACTTTTGTATGATGGGGGATAATTATCAAGTTTTATTTTTTCCATATAAATATATATTTTTGCATCCTAATTACTTAATACTGTTATTTCCACCATTCTCTGGTTGACATGTACTATTTCTCCATTTATTTGAAACTTTTCCTTCTCTTAATAATTATTTATAAGTTTTGGTATAGAGGTCTTGTCTTTCTTTTGTTAAATTTATTCCTAAGCACTTGAAATATCTCCATGTTATTATAAATGTTACCTTTAATTTTTTTCATTACCTATTTATTTCTTGCTGGTATGTAAAAATGCTGTTAATTGTATTCCATTAACCCAGTACCCAGCAACCTTGCTAAACTCACTTATTAATCCTAATAAAGTATCTATAGATTCTTTTTTATTTTTTACATGCACAATCATATCTGCAAATAACAACAGTGTTACTTCTTTTCCAAACTTTTAAAAATCTTATTGCACTTTCTAGAGCCTTGTATCAATTATCTGTTGCCACCAAAATGCTGACTAACAAACCACCTCAAAATTCAGTGATGTAAAACAACAAGAATTTAATCTTGTACCTCATGAGTCTTTGGGCTGGGCTCAGCAATCTGTAAAGGAATTGACTGGCTATTGACTGATCTAGGCTCGCCTGAGCTGGGACCACAGGAGTGCTTCAGCTCTGATTGACAGGTCTCACTTCCCAAGAGATTAGCCTAAACGTGTCCTCATGGTGATAGCAGAAGTATAAGAGAGCAACCAGTAACAAGGAAGGCCTTTTGAAGCCTAGGCTCTCTATTGGCACACCAGCCCAGATTCGAGTAGGATAGTAGATTTATTGCCTCCTTAGTGAGAGGAACTGCAGACTCACATTGCAAAGGGGGTGGAGACAGGAAAAATTGAAGACTTGGGGCCATTAATGCTATTAATCTACTCAGACTTTAAATTCAGTTTGACTAGAAGAGATGCTAGTGGGCATCCTTGTCTTATTCCTGAGCTCCAAGGAAAAGCCTTCAACATGAACAACTTCAAACATCATTATGTGTGATGTTTGCTGTAAGCTTTTTTGTAAATAATGTCTATGAAAATAAGGATGTTTCTTTCTAATCCTAGTTTCCTAAGAGTTGAGGGTTTTTTTTAATGAATGGTTATTGGGTTTTATCAAATATTTCCTCAAATATTGAGATGATCATATGATTTTTATCCTTTATTATGTTATCATTGATTGATTTTTTACTTTTAAACTCCTGTGAATTACTAGAATAAATTCAGCTCGGTTGTGATGTAATTTTTTTATATATATATTGGTGGATTTGATTTGCTAGTATCTGGTTTGGGAGTTTGCATTAATGTCCATGAATGACATTGCCATGTGATTTTCATAATTCCTTTGACAGATTTTGGTATTAAGGTTATGCTGGTCCCGCCACTTCTTCTATTCTGGAAGATCTTATGCAAGATTAGTAGTATTTATTTTTCAAATGTTTAGTACAATTCACAAGTGAAGTCATCCAGCCCTGAGGTTTTCTTTGGAGGAATCTTAATAATTACAGAAGCAATTTATTTAAAAGTTATGAGACAATTCAGAGTTTCTATTTCTTCTCCTGTAAGTTTGGTACAATATGAATAGAAGTGGTGATAACAAACCTCCTTGTCTTGTTCTCAACCTCAGGAGAAAAGTGTTCCTACTTCACCCTTGAGTGTAGTGTTAGCTATAGGTTTAGGGAGGCTGTGAATTAAGGAAGTTACCCTCTCCCTACCATTTTTTGCCATTGTTCTAAATATTTTCCTTCTACGTATCATAAAGCCCACAATACATTGCTATTATTATTGCTATTAAGAAGTCAATAGTTTCTCATATTTCTCTACATATTCACCCTTGCAGGTGTCTTTTATTCCTTCTTGCATCTCTGTGCTTGCATCTAGGATAATTTTCCTTCAGCTAAAATATTTTCCTTTAATATTTTTTGTAGTGCAGGTCTGCTGAAGACGAATCCTCCCAACTTTTGTCTGTCTAATAACATTATGATTTCACCTTCCTTTTTTATTATTATTTTATTTAAGGTGAAATTCACATAACATAAAATTAAGCATTTTAAAG